CTGTTGTTCTGTTGCTATTTTTTTCTTCCGAAAGTTATTTTCATTTGACTGTTATATCAAACACATAAGATTTTTAACACGGAAAGGTACTGAGAAATAATTGGCTTATATAATACCAGGAGTAATCATTGAATCATAGATACCATTAAACGTCTAAAAAGTATAAAGGGAACAGATTAATTAAATGGTTCATTGGCATCTATTTTAGTTGTGAATTCTTTATTTCCGCTTTATTGAATCTCAATACATTGTTTCAAGACTTTTGTTTCATTGCATTTCATTATCAAAACTTTCTCGCAATTGCCGCTATTTTTGACGTCATGTGTATACTGTTTTTATAAAAATAGTTTTTGTCCACGGTACAATTATTTGCTCCAGGAATAAAACAAATTTCTAGCTTAATGAAAAATTCCTACCGGCTTGGCTATTTTAGACGGCACTTATATTTTGTACAAAAGAGTGCAATTCTTCAATGCCCCATTTGAGGCAAATCATTTTAGAAATTGTTCTGACATATGGAGAAAAGGATGCCTGGGGTAAAAAATGAAAAGGAGCGAAAATGTTGTAAGCAAATCCTAACGATATAGTACAGCATAAACTGAAGTGCCAAAAAATAGAGACAACAACATGTAGCGGTTACACAACGTGGAATCTACGAGGTACTGAAGCTGTCATGTGGGTATATTTATCCAGGCAGGTCCCAGAATTGTCTATTACTGAGTTGTGTTTATTGGATGTGATTGAAATGAATTTAAGGTCTTATGGCATAGCACAAATAGAAAAAGGCTTTTCTTTTGTTATAACCTAGAAAAGGTTACTGAATGAGAAATAACCAAAACGGAGGTTTGAAATAGAATCGTAATCTTTATAATATCAACAAAATACAATACTCCCCAGCGGCGTGTAGGTAAACCACTGCTAGTGGTGGAATACATAGACAGTATATTACCCCGACTTACAATAGTGTCCAACGTATTTATGATGATTGCGGTTTACCCATTAGTGTTCATAAATACGGTATATAACATCTTTCAAAGCAGTACTTAAACATTTTAACTGTCAACAGCAGATATCTACTGTAATTGAAACATTAACTGATAATGATTTATAGTAGACTACACCAACACAAGTCCACCAAAGCGTTACCAAACCTTTGTTCGGATGGATGACCATTTTGTGTTGTGATTCCCTGATAAAAAATAACAATGCCACAGCTTAGTGCAAACACGTTTTCTTTTTTGTTGTGGATTCCGAGATGAAATCCGGTATCAAATTAATGACAAACGCAGGAATAAAATATAGCAAATAAATGTATTGACGTAATAATACAATTGGTAATACGGTTAGTAGATCCAGAAATGCGGTTAGTAGCAATAATAATATATATACAGTCTGGGGAATTCAGTATCGAAGTAAGACTTCCTTCTGAGTCTACGTGCTCGCAACTGTGACTCCTACAAAGCGGTTACCTCACTGTATCACTCTATCAATGTATCTCTGTTACTCACTCTATATCCCGGGCATTCACCGACAGCAGTACAAGTACACACTGGTCGAGTCCACTTGTATGAAAAAGAGGTGGACCCCATAACACTTTTTACATCGAGCCATTTAATGTAATCAAATAAACAGGATTGTGCAGTTTGATTTGGTTAAAAAATATACATAATTTCGTCATTAACTTAATCATCATCAATTTCGATATCTTAGATGTCACGTAATCAAGGAAAAGGACAGAAAAATTCCATAGTTTCACAATTAAATACCCATAATCATACCATATAAAAACATGTCCAAACTTTATTTTCTACTTAATAATAGGCAATGTTTACAAGCATACAAAAAAGATTCCGCAATACAATACATAAGCGTCTGTTGATTAGAAATTAACATCACCATGTGAAATATTTGACCAATCAGAGAAAACTAAAACCCTATTTTTTTCGAGCCTAATTTCGGGAAAAAAGTTCTTATAAAAAAAAAAAAAACATTGATTTCGACTTTCAGCAAGCAGAGATGCGACTCACTCCAAGCCGTTCAAACACAAGAGAAGACGTGGCTACATAGCTTTTTCCTAAAGCCCGTGCTGAAAGAAGCATATGTCGGCGACTTCAAAGAAATCATCTCCAACAACAACAACAGCTCGGGCGGTCAGTGAATCTTCGCTGCCGATCAAAGTCTTTTCTAAACAGCTTCTTTTTTTCGAGGACCAATTACCCAAAGACTTTATTTAACTCAACTAAAGACTATTTTTACTCGTTTTTGAATTCATGCACATATGTTTGTAAATATAAATATTTTATTTAACAGACATGCCCACGTTTTATTTATTTTTATTTTATTATTGTTTGGAATTCGGGCGTGCGGATTTTTAATATAAAAATCCTGGATAACTGAATTTCCTACAATACTGAAATCTGAACATGCATTGGTATAGCAAAAGATGCCTTCTAAAAGCTAAGCAAAGTACTCAGAAAGAGCCGGCTGAATTTCCTACACAGTAGTCCGCAGTTTTGAAGAAAGCGAGAGAAACAAAAAATATCAGTAAAGCTTCAACCTTTTTTTGACCTGCCATATCAAAATTACGTAAATTCCTTAATCCTTAAAATATTTCCATTGTTACGTTTCTTTCTCATACAATACTGAATACAACCAGAATTTAACTGCGTAAAATAATGACTACTATCAGGTTATCATTCTTCATTGTACTTCTGGCCTTGTTTGAAACCTTTTTAATATATTGTTGCATGGATTTTTTGTACGTTCCGAAAACACTTCTTTTTTTAAAAATTAAAATTATTAAAAATTCATTATTTGAATATGTAATTACCTTAAGTCTCTACTAACACAAGAAGGAAGAGGAGGGCGGGAATCCTCACATAACTCATCCCCGTATTTTATTTCTGAGTTCAAAAACATAAATCCTACCCTGGGGTTGTAGGTCTAAGGTAAGTAGCTTGAGAGGAAAACAACTGGAGAATATGAATGAATATCAAGGCTAGGTTGTTATATATATATATATATATATATATATATATATATATATATATATATATATATATATATATATATATTGTACACAGGAAGCGCGTAAAGCTGCTAAGTCCCAATCTTGGTATGTCTGAAAAAAAAAAAGGCAGACAGGCGGGCATTTGTTTAGATACCTGTTTGCCTAAACTGCCCAAAGCGAAGGATTTGACAAGCGACAAGTGTTGTAAGGAAATCACGTGTTTCTTGTAACTCTAATTAAAAAGGTGATGAGGAAGGCCCCCCAACACATATGTGTGTTTTCACGTAGACATGTATGCGTGTGAATGATGAAGAAGGTATATTGAAGATTTTTTTGGGGTGGGGGGGGAATTATTCTTTTCGTTATATGTGTGCAAACTACTTGTCTCTAGACGGGCATCTTTACAGCATACGCCCTTCTTAAACTTGTAAAAACTGCGATACCATATCATATCAATTTATTTATCAATATCTTTATTATTCTATATGCATATCAGCATAAAAATACATATTAAAATAATACACACACGCACACACACACACACACACCTCGACGTTCATTATTAAAAAAATCTTCCACGAAGCACAATTTTTTTAACAAACAGTAAAAATTTATGGATAAAAAAAATAACACGTACAAATACATGTGCGGTTTTTATACCTGTAATACTAACAGAAACACGCTTAATTTTTTTTTACTAAACAAACACGTCAATTTACTTCCATATTCACACATTCCTGCATCAAAAACATATGAATGAATACTTAATTACCGATACACAATAGTAATTTTTACCTGCCTTCTTTCTTTCTTTTTTCTTTCTTCTTTTCTTTCTTTCTTTCTTTTTCCACAGGCGCTACAAACATTTTTATAAAATTTCTTATATTCACAAACTACACAAACACGAACAAGTACACACCCATATCCAAGATGCTTATAGCCAGATTAAAATCCCAACTTATTTGTCGCATCTAAATAAACTGGACCCGCCAAATTAGATATTAAACCAGAAAGTTCTCAAATTTTGTTGATTACCGAAGAAAAAATCTCGGGATATATGCATTTATGGAGACACCATTCTGAAATGTTCAAAACAGTTTTCCGAAAAAAGGATTGGAAGAATTAAAAAAAAAAAAAATGATGAGCCGACATCACAAATCAGGATGAATATTACAAAGAAAAAATGAATTCTACTTGAATCGGAAAAAATTAACTATACGAAAAAAAAAAAAAAAATCATTCAACTCGTAAAAACTATCTACAATTTTCTTTTTTTTTTTTAATCTAAATTCGAATAATTTTTTAACTCAATCCTTTTCTATTATTTTTTAAATATTTATTTGTTTTTAGAACTGACTACATTTTAGTGCAACAATATTTAATTAAACAGTGACAAAAATACAAATTTTTAAGATAATTTAGGTAAAAAAAATAATTCCTTTCTTGTGATATTTCTAAATACTTACAAATATATTTTTAATATATAGAAATTTCAATATTTTATTTTCAAATTAAATAATTTTAAATTCATGCATTTCTCAGTGACTAATATCAACTTTTCTCTTTAAATTTATTATACAGCGTACACATAAGGCCGCTATTTAATATGTTTAATTTTAAAAAATTACGGAAGTATCTTCAAGGCATTTGGTTTAGCAAATATGATAAGAAGACTTATCTATTTAAGTTATCATCAAAAAGACAATATTTAAATAAAAAGAATAAAAGATTCATTATTTGAACTGCAATATTCTAAAAAAATATTATATGAACATTTTTTTTTTTTTTAGTTTTTACAGTCTTCTTTTTTTTACTTATTATTTTTCTCTCCTTTGAGAGGCTAAACTCGAATGGTACACCTTCTCTGTGAAATTTGATAAAGAACTGAAATAAAGCAGGAATACAATAAAGAAAACCCTGACAAACTCAATTTTTACCTGTTGATTATTGGATTACCTCTGACGTACGTCCGACATATAATCTTCCTGGAATGGAGAACGAACCAGAAAACGTAAGTGAATTATTATTCATTCTATAACGAAAAAAAAAATCATTTCACCACAAGCAAGGCAATAAAGCTACTAAGACGCAAAGGGGGGGTTACTGAGTGTTAGAGAATATGAGAAAAATATACTATTAAGGAGAAAGGACAATAAAAGAACAATGATTAAGAAAATAGAAGATAACGATTGAAATTGCATTTATATTTTGGAAAAAGGATTAAGTGTCAATTTTGATTGTACTAGGAAAGTCCTTACTTTTTTCTTTTCTTCTTTGTCCTTTTTCTTTCTTTTTCATTTTCTTTTCCTTTTTACATATCTTTTCTTTCTTTTTTAGCGATCATTAGAATTTAACACTTTTGTTCATATTTTAAGAAAATTGATACGAGACTTGAAAAGTAAAAAAAGAGTATAAAGAAACAATGTTTTAAGTGTGTATAGATCTATGTGCCGTGTTCCTTCAGGACGTTGACAATAACGGCTCTCCACAATTTCCTGTCCTTTGTAGCTCTTAATAAATTTTCTCTTTTGTTATCTCTCTTAAACCTTGTTCCGACATCCATTTACTCAAACTCGTTAAGTAAATTACGTATTATTTACCCCCGTTCCTCTTGCCTTCAATCTTTTCTGTGAGTATCATATTTTCCAAGCCCACTTTCCTCATTATGTACCCAACAAATTTCAACTTCCTTTTTGTTTCTATTTTCTCTAAAACCTTCTCGTTGCTCATATCTACGATCCATGGTATTCTCAGCATCTTTCTGTAGAACAATATGTATGTTGCTTCAAGTCTCTTCCTATCTGTGTGGAGATTGTCCAGCATTCGCTGCCATATTGGAGCACTGATATTGCGTAAGAGTCCAGTATTCCTTTCTTTCTTTCTAACGAATTTTTTCTGTCTCTTAATACTCTGCTTAACTTCTAGAAGGCATCTTTCGCTATCCCAATACGACTTTGGATTTCAGTGTCGCACTTTCCGTCCTCTGTTAAAATATTTCCCAAATAATTAAATTTGTGTACATGTTTGATTTTGGTATCTCCAATTTGTAATTTGCATGTTGGACTGTTCCTTTTGCTGATAATCATTCATTCTGTCTTCTTGAAATTGATGCTTAATCCTTTTTTCTTACTTTCATTTCCTACCTTCTGTAAGAATTCCTGAAATTCCTTATCTATTACCTAATGACCTTATGAATTCAAACGTTGTCGATCTAGTTTCATTGTCGTGAGTTCAATCCCTGAGTAAGTTATAGTAAAACGTCAGATTCTGGTTCAGTGGAAGAAACAATTGACATCACAAGCACGAATTAACCAGGGAAAATTATTTGGTGGATGTAGCGGAATGAGAACAATCTACCCTCGTGAATTGAATAAAATCCTGAAGAAATCTGGATGTTAGAACGGCCGAAACTTCATGACTAGTCAGATTACATTAGTGTATAATAGAACTAAGACATAAATATCAACGAGTAAAATCCATCGTAGTTATTTAGAACTATGAAATATTCATTTATATATCGTCACGGATTATACACTGTTTAAATAAAATAAACATCATATTAAAATTAAAAACGTAAGAAAGATAAAACGACATATATATATATATATATATATATATATATATATATATATATATATGAAAAACTATGACAATGAAAACTTTCGTTTGACGCGTTTCGTCTTTAAGACTTCATCGGAATAAAGTGATGTTTATGTTGATGCGACGACATATCCGTACGAAGAAGAGGGGATACTAAGAATTAAAAAAAAAGATTAATGTAAATTTAAAATTATCAGTGTCCCCTCTCCTTCATGCGCATATGTAATTGCATCAACATAAACATCTTTAATCCGATGAAGTCCTTTTTCACTTTGTCCTATTTGATTGTTCCTTAAATTATTTTTGATATACATATATATATATATATATATATATATATTATATTTTATATATCGTTTTCCCATATATATATATATATATATATATATATATATACCAACAATTTTGTTAAATTTAACCAACGTCGTATGTGTATTTAATTTTTATTATATTTTCCAATTTTCGATTCTAGTTATCTCTAAAAATGCCAGGAATAAGTAAAAAATAATGTTTACCTAACTAAGTTCTTCATAATGACCGAGGCAGTCGAAAGTACTGGAATAGGGAAAATACATTAACTTTGAACAGTTTATTAAAAATTTCAATCCATATATTCAACGTCTTTCTCGGGATTGGAAAATATAATAAAAAAAATAAATTTACAGTACCTGTCAGTTGGATTTAACAAGAATATATTAGGGTTGTGATTTTTTGACTTTTTGTAAAATAATTGATTTCCTGTATCATAGTTCGATGAGCTTTTCTACCAAAATAATGAAGAAAGTTTTAATTCAGTTTATTTTTTTAAATGTCACTCTCAACACGAAATTTCTAAAATCGTATATAAGTATAGTAGCATTATAACTTCCTGGAGCTTTCTAGAACTTTCTGGAAACTTTTAGAACTTCCTGGGGCCTTCTAGAACTTTCTGGTATCTGCTAGAACTTGTTTTTGTTTATTTGTAAGTTTGAATGTTATGCTACAGTTATACACTGTTAAATCCGTTAAAAATACACAAGTATTATCCACTTACATAATTAGCAAATTTACGCGTACGACAATGTGTCGCCCCCGTATTCTGAGGTGAAACGAATGGTGTTTCTAACGTTGCTAGCCATGGCAAGAATAGCGATCTGGATGATGCGAAAGGAGGGAATCATGTGACACGAACGTTATTCTCATCAGGCTCTGATTCTTTTAGCCTGAGCTGAAAGTGAAGATCAGAAATTATAGAAAGCGTTTGGTGTCAACAGATTTCAACGAAAGGTGGGTGAAAGTAGCGAGTTTGGTTCGTGTGAAAGGGGCTATCCTTGAGTTTTATTTTTTAAGTCCTCTTCGTCACAACGAATCAGTTTCCTGTGAACCCTTCCCTGGTTAAGTTAGACTCCCTTTTGTGTACCTATGTTATAGTGGAACACACCTATTCTATAGTTAATAGACTCTCCTACCTATAATAAGTAGGAGTCGCTCAGTGGGTCGCTCAGTCAGTCGATGCCGGACGACCGTTAGTCGGATACTAAACTATCAGTGACCACAACTAGATTACTCTGCGTTATACCTATTATATCAAGTTCCTAACGTTTTTGTACGTCGAACCTATTTTAGGACCGACTTGTTACAAATACAAGCCTCCACTGTGAAAATCACTCCATAACAACCTAGTTAATGTAAGTGTCGTTCCCAGCCTGTTCTTCTTTTGGTTATGATCCAAGTAGAGATTCACAACCTCCCCAGTTTGTTTTTTGGCTCCTTTTAATCTCGAAAGGTTTAGTCTTTGATTTCCCCACGGCCACATTTATTTTATCCTTCCCATTAGAGTTGCTTCTTGATTCTGTCTGATGACAGAATACAGTGACAACTCTTATTTTTGTGGGATGGATGGGTCCTACTAAAATCTATTATTTTCCGTTTTATATTTGTTATGTTCGTAATTGGGATTCATACTCCTCCCCCTCATTTCGTATCATCTTCAGATATATATATATATATATATATATATATATATATATATATATATATATAACATTTGTCAATAGGAAATCTGTACATAAGAAATTTTTAAATTATGGGGTTTTTTTTGTACGTTCCATTTGTGTATGGGGTATTGTGGTATATGTAGGAGTAAAAGGAGAAGGATGTCTTCTTTTGGTATATGTTTTATTTGTATTGAATGAATGAGTTGTGAATCGGATTAGCTAGATATAGGATAGTTAATGATGACCAGCCTCAACCAACTTCCACTTTTTGGGCCGTGTGCTGCAATTATTGTATTTTACAATAATAAATACTTACATCATTAGCAAATTGAAAAATTAAAACTTCTGAAATATTTTGATTTTCTACCTTTATTGCGCATATGGTAAAATGGAATTTTCGATTTGCGTGGGAGTGACCTTTTTTTCAAAATCTAAAACATATTCTTTTTTCATTACTTTTGAACAAAAGTTCATCGATTTATGACACACAAACACAGGGTTACAAAAAAGCCATGACCCTAATATATATATATATATATATATTTAGGAAATGGATTAAATCCGACATATTTTTATTTTTAATTTATCTTGTTTAAACGTTATTTTTTATGGATACTCATAGTCGAGTAGAAACTTTGTTTTTTTGTTAATTAAATAGTATTTTTCCAGCTACATCTACCGGGCTGAATATTCGAGAAATCTTGTCAGAAAAATATTCGTCCAACGGCAGGATTCGAACCTGCATCCCCTATGGAGAACCGTCATTATGTGCAGATATGGATATTTCGAAAATCAGCAGAGAATGTGTGTTCACAAGCACTGTTACTTGGCCGAGCGGTTAGGCACGTCAGATCCAATGATGGTTTTCCATAGCGGATGCAGTTTCGAATTCTGCCGGAGGACGCATATTTTTCTGATAAAGATTTCTCGAATATTCAGGGCGGGTAGATGTAGGTGGGTGAAAAAAAAATACTGTTTAATTAAAAAAAACAGAGCTTTTGCTCGAATATGAGTATCCATAAAAATAAAGTTTAAACGATTTTATTTTATTTTTATATATATATATATATATATATATATATATATATATATATATATATATTAACAAATGAATATTGGGTGGGGCAATAACAAAAGGCACACAGAAACAACTGAAATATCTAAATAGGGTTGTCATCAGCAAGAGTTTATAAAACTTTCTTCATTGATGGAACCATTGCAGATGATAGCTACTTGAACATGTTAGACAACTGCTTCTTTTTTTTCTTTTTTTGCATAAATCACCAGATCAGAAAGGGATTTGCAAACGATAATCTTTCGATAGGATAGTGCACCTGTATATTACTCACTTGTCATCAGAGTTTCTGTATAGAAAATTATTAAATCGATGGTTTGTGACAGCAGGACAAAAGGTTTTTAGTAAGGAACCATGATATTACACCTGTAGATATTATTGGTGAGGCATATTAAGCTATTAAATCCCTCTATAAAATCCGGTATTAATTATAGGTTTCTACCTATCCACATTTAGCTTACGGCCGTATCACTCTGAAACACTGGTTCCTGTTCGATCGCCGAAGTTAAACAACGTCGAGCCTGTTAAGTACCTAGATGGGTGACCGCTTGGGAGCACCAGGTGTTGTAAACTTAGATTTTCGGATGGTGTTATGGATAATGGCTCAGAATTTTTAATCAGGGAGCCGAGTTCAAATTCCGGTTGGGTTCGTTATATTCACTTGAGCGCCAGCACTCTTGGTAGGGGTATGAATCTACCTCTTAATTAGTAAGACTTGTATTACTAAACCATTATTATCTCCAAAAGTAAAATAAAATTGCGTACGAAATATTTATATTTCAGCATTAAATGACCCATAGATATAATATGCCACTAAACAAATTCAACCAACCAACTATAACTAATTAACGTCGACCGTTCTATTTTTGGGAAGGTGTGTATTAATGAGTTCTGAACAGAAAAGTGTTAAGAATTTGGGTTATAACAAAACCCGAAATATTATTTCACGATTTTCGTAGAAGAGGCAGGTTTGATAACACTTGAAATATGTCAAAATACTGTTCAAAATTTTATTAAAGATTTTAAATTTGCATTGGTAATGGTGACTTATCTTTCAATGTCGAGAAATATTGATTTTACTTATGGTTTGGTATAGTTATGGGGAGGTACGGTGGAGTAATGGATAGCGGTTCGGATTGAGGAATTCAGTCGAATCCATTACATTCACTTACGTGTTAATATCCTTGGGAAAGGTATGAATCCTCTTCTTTTCCCCCTAGTTATGTGTAAATAGCAGGACAGGGCCGATTTTTATAGTCTCGGATGGCAACTGGTCTACCGCATTTTAGATGGCAACCTACTGCGGGAAAACAATCTGCCTCGTCAGTCATGTATCGAAATTCGTGTATCACGCATGACACATAACTGATAGTTATAGAAACATTTCCTTTATATCTCATTTGGCTGTTTTGAGTTTCGAATGCAGTAATCAGTTTATTTAAACTAACTGAAAACCGGGCAGAATTTTATGCGAATTCCTCTGAAATGTGATTGGCCTCCAAATAAAAGAGGATAGATTTGAACAATGTAGGCCTACTTATTATTATTATTATTAAATCATGCCTTATTATAAAATCATCACTATAAAATCACTTATAAAATCATCACTATCATAAACTTTTGTGTCACATTTAACTTAATTTCAAGTATCCATATTTTATTTTAATAATTGACATTTTGTCTGTTTCTGGTTGTTTGAAAATGATAACAATTCCATTTAGTTATACTGACGGACACAAAGTAATAGTTCAGTTTAGCATTATACTTACATTGTAAATCTAACCTCTCGCTAAAATGTTTTGGGGTTTTCAAATACGCTAAAAACATACTGCGGGGTCCCATTAGTAACTACAGAAAATTTAATGTCCATAAATTAATGCCCATAAATCTTAGTGTTATGTGATGACAGACAAGGAGAAAAAACAGACATTTGGCGAATTATTGTAAGAATCACAAATTTTAAACACGTTATTATCCTTAATTTTCAATAGGTTTGTAAAAACCCATTTTCTTTTGCTTTGCTATTTTCATTTCTGTTTTTTCATTTGAATTGATATATTTTATTGTGTTAAAAGTAACATAGAATGATCAAAATCCAAATACTGTTCGTGATAATTATCCAAGTTTTGATTGAATGGTTGAGTCTTTTTTATCTCATGTTAATAGAACTATTAATAGATCATTAAAATGTTAACTTACAATAGTCCGAATAGTGTAAATTGATTTTAAAAATATGGATTTTTCAGTTAGAACGTACAAGAAATTTAAATCGATGTTTCAAATTGACTTTGCACCATGATGTCGTTTGAGATGATATAAACGTTATATTTAATTAAAGTTGTGTTCAAGTTTTTGCAAATGAATCTATAACATGCAGACCCGAAACAGCCTTGCGGTGAACCAGGATGCTTAATCAGTGATGTTTATTCCTGGTTACACTGAGGCTTTCGAGTTTTTAAAAACATCAAACCCCTTTTCCCAGATGACTTAACCAGGAACGGTCACCTCCAGGTCAGCTTCCCGATCTTTTCGGTTAAAATCTTGCAAATGAATGCATATTTACATTTGTCTATTATATATTTGTTTTATAAGAACGAAACGTATTTTACCTTAATAATTCAGCCCAAGTATTATTTATTAGTGTTTGTTTCCCCATGCCGTCAAATATTACGGCATTTAGTAAATATATTTTTCCATATATAAATATGCAGTAAATATGAACGATTTGTCTATTACTTTATAATAGAAAATTAATTCCCTACTTCAAGAGAAGAAGAACCTTATTGCTGTGACCAAGTAATAGTTAAGAAATAACAAAACAAGAGGTTGCAGATAAATAGTGTATTGAACAGTAAATACAATAGAAGAGTGTTACACGACTTGGGAGTGTGTGACGGTTGACCAGCGTTTAGTCTATATCACTGTTAATATTCAACAGCCCCCCCCCATACACACACACACGAGGGATATATGTGACACAAGGCCGAGTTTAACGTGAGTCATCCGAGCCCGTAGGCTCGGCCCAAAAATCCTCGTAGAACCCGCATAAACAGATTCGGGTCTGTCGACCTCCCCAGACGAAACTCTGCTCTTCAGCACAGCCTCGTCTGGGTTCCTCTCTGCCCAAGGCAGAGAGTTCGACAGAAGTTGCGAACAGTCACAGCTTCGGAAGAACTGTCTATCACTGTTAATATTTAACAGCGCCCCCCCCCCCATGTGGAATGTATGTGGCACAAAGCCGAGTTTACAGTAGGTTCTCCGAGCCCGTAGGTTCGGCCAAAAATATTTCCTTAGAACTCCTATAAACGGGTCCAGGGTCTGTCAATCTCCCCGGACGAAACTGCCCTTCGGCAAAGCCTAGTCCGAGTTCCTCTCTGCCGAAGCAGAGAGTTTGACAGTTGAACAGTCTAACACTGTTCCACCGAAGCTTTCTTTCCTACTACTTTATTATAAGTGGAAGAGTCCACAATAGCCTCATTAGAGGGAAGACACCACAACACTTATATTAACCTATTTGAAAATGTGGAAACAACAGGGTTCGATATTTTGGTGGAAACATTTAAATGAAAACTGATTTAGAATAATGCAAATTGCTACGACACTGAAAAATATTAAGAATATAAAATGAATCAACTTTTTACTCAATAAAAAAATTGTTTTCGGGCCACGTCATTTTCGACATTTCATTGTGTGATATAAAAAAATGTAGCAGAAATGGCAACCATGAGAGTAACGAACGTTGCGGCTAAGCACCAAAAAAAAAAAAAAGAAAAAAAAAAAGAAATAAAGAAAAGAAAAGATACTATATTGGTTGCTGTTGGGAAAAAAAAGAAGACTGATAAATTACCACCTTCGTTACGGTTACCATCATTGTTATCCGGGTTCCTAGAGGCCAGTCGAATCAACATAATTGTTTAATGGCTGTTGTTTATCATCCGGGTTATTCACACGCTCAAAAAAACAAAAAAAAAAAAAACAAAAACAAAAACAACTTTAAAGTCAAGCGTTTCAAGGTGCCGAGGAGATATTTTTATTTATTTATTGAAGCGAGCATTACGTGAAAAACTTCCAGTGATTCCGTTGGCCTTGTGTCTTTAGAGGTGAAATTATATGAACCCGTGACTTACCAATTTTACACGCAACAAAATCACAACTGGCAGAATGTATCATATAGATTCAAATCGATTATCAAATCACGCGAAAACACGTTCATTTAAACTAAACAAATCATTTTACATAGTAAATGTTTTTGCACGTGTGCCTTTGTGCCTGTATGTATAATTACACACGCGAACGCATACATAAACATGCAATGATAATAAACATTGTTCGATATGACAAGTGTTACTGTATATAAAAAATCTAACAAAGATGCCTCAAAATTTTGTCGTCTTTATTCGTGTTTGTGCCGTTGTTAAAAACAACCTCTAATGCTCGTATCTCAGTTTATACTATGTTATAATTATCTCGTGTCGCCCTGATTCGTTTAACGTAGCACTTTTTGTAGAACCTATCTAGAGCTCTCATAGCATAAGTTCTGTTTTATTCTAATCACTTTCTCAAATAAATCAAGCTTACCTAGCAGTTCAAACAGTTCTTTGTGCCATACTTTATCAAACGCTTTTGCCTATTCTATAAAATATAGTTATACATCCTTCAGCATTTGTATTGCTCTGTCTGTTATCACTTTATGCATAAATATCGCATTTCTTGTACCAGTGTCGTTAACGAAACCCGCACTTTTCTTGTTCTATTTCAGATCTGATTTAGGTGCGCGCTCTACTCATCAGAATTCAGATGATAGGTTTTGCTATATGGCTCATTAGGTTGATTGTCCGATGCAGTTCACATTCGTTTGCATCTGGCTTCTTAGGCAGCGCGATGAAAATGGATCTACTTGTGTCTTCCAGTTTATCACCACTGTCGTATATTTTATTATGTCAGTAATTTTATCAATGCCGAATTATCTAAGGGTGCCAGCATCTCCATTACAATTCCATGTGGTGCCTTGTTGGCTAGTGTTAATCGCACTTCAGACTTTAATATTTCTGGTCCTTCCATATTTTTGTGCATTTCGAGTTTTCCTATTTCTACGTGGAAGAATTCTCCGATGTATTTTTCTTTCTCTATTATCAGCGTTCCTTCTTTTGACTTTATGCATCCTGTCGATGAATACGTTTTTTTGTCTGTTATTTCTCTTATACATTTATGCATATCTGTCTTATCTGTAATGTTCATTCTTTCGATCTCTGTATACTTTTTATTGAGCCATTCATCTTTTGACTGCCTGCTTTTTCTTCTAATTTATTTATTGTAATGTTTTATATTCTGTGCCATACTTTGGCATTGCTTACTGTGTCTTTTTATCATGTTTCTTGTTTAGCTTTTTGGGGGATAGTTTCCTTTCTCATGTTACTAAAGCTTTTCTTAATGTGTGCCACTTCGAATTTCCATTTTCATTTAGTTCACTGTATCTTCTTTTTAACGCTGTCAGTATCTCTTTCAAATTCGGGTTATTCAGGAGTCTATCGTGTTGCTATTTGGGTACTGCCTTGGCCCTCTTCAACTTCA